CTGAGAGCGTTTCTTGTCAGCAACAACAATCGTTGGGGTTGTACAAAATGCGGCAGCGGCAGCGGCAGCAGCAACAATCGCTGGTGCTGAACTAAGTTTTTCTTTCTGAAAAAATTCGTGTTCCATTTTTGTCGCTGCGTAAGTCCTTTGCAGTATCAAAGTGTGTTGGTTGCGGTTTGAAATTTATTTTCACACAAAAATAAACAAAAAAAAAAAAAAATTAAAGAAAATATGTGGAAAATTGTGTCAAATTGTGAATGAGTTTTTTTAAGTGTTTTCCAATTGCAATTGTTGCAGTTTGACTGACATACAAAATAAATTGCTTCAATAACAGCAATCGCATGTGTGCAACCTCGAAGTGGATTGAGTATTTGGCAATCGATTGTGATGCAATATCATTTTATTCAATGTTTAAAACACGTGTATTGCAATAAGCAGCTAGGAAGCTTGGCAAGAGAATATTAAAATTATAGTAATATTATTAATTAATTATTACATACAGGATCCCCATACTTTTCAAGCAATTCCAGAAAAGAATTATTTCTAACAAAAGACAGAACATTTAAAATGAAAAGTGTTAAAAATAATATATGCAACCTATATTATGTTTTGAAAGTTTCTTTAATATGTTTCTATCAAAAAGTTAATGGAAAAGCACGAGCTTTCAAGCAAAGTATGACTTCAATATTTACAGAAGGCTATGATAAACGTTAATATATACTATTCATTCGCAAAGATAACTCATTATTTTCAGTTAATTAACCAAGTTACAGTTATATAGACTGAAGTCTTAGAGACTATGATAATCCCTAACGAACACATATCAAAGATAGATAGAAATTCATCAATTTTCCACTATCAAATATTAGCTAGTCATTAAATGCAACGAGAAGAGTGCTTTGTAAAATCTTTGATCCTCTACGAGTTGGTGACGACTGCTGAAACCAAATAAACAACGACCTATAAGAGCTTTATCGCAACATTGATATAATTCGGCGAATTAACATCCAGCAGTTTTGTTGGTTTGGCCATGCCATGTGAATGGATGAAGATGTTTTATCGAAAAAGTTATTTGAATCGATAGTTTGCAGAAAAAGGCATAGAGGTGGACTTGATCTCCGGTGGAGTGTTCAAGTTGAGAGAGCATTAATCGGATTTGATGTACTAGACTGGAGAAGGTGCACACGCAATATAGGCTCGTGGAGAGCCGAAACCTGATAACCCGGTAACGGGTTTTGTGGCAAAATAAGTAAGTAAGTAAGAAATCGTTGATTTCATCAGATTATAATTCATTAAAGAAAAGGAAAAACTAGACAGTTTACCCCGTTTTGGCACTTTTTTAAATGATTTCTTGAGAGCAATTATATATTCATCCGTAGAAGTTACTTACAAGACGTACAATATGTTAGTTGACCTGGTGTGCATATATGATATCAGGAACTGGAAACTAATCACAGGGACAGTCACAGGCACCATGTCAATACTGTTAAGTCCTTTCAACCCACTATTGTGTAGGAATAGGGAGGAAGAGAAAGGAAGGAATACACGTAAAGAAACTAAATATTTCTGTAAATGCTAATTAAAAAATTTGTAAAACACTTTCTCATAGAGAAATATCAATATCAAATAATAATAATTAATTATCGGATCTCGAAAAAAGTATTGACAATTTTTAAACATTTTCTTCTCTCCTTTAAAATCAATTTATATTCTTAAATACCCACACTTTTATGGTATTTAATCTATTTATTAAAATATTTTTCAATAAACAATTTCAGTATCACTGCTTGTAACTTTAGTGAATTCTCTTCAATATATACAGGTTGTCCAAATATTTACTTCTGGATCTTGTTCTTTGTACGTTTATCACAAAAAAGTTTAAATATCTGACTGCTATTAGAGAAGTAATTCCGAATAAACAATATATCGCACTGAACATCGGAACATCATACTGATCACATAAATAAAAAAATAAAACATTAAGTTTTCATTGACAAAATTATATGTTAAAGTGAAATTATAGAAAAAAAATTTTATAAGTAAAATTGTTAACAATCAAAATTTTTTTTTCATTTTTCGGTATAGCCATTTATGTAATCAATCAAAATTCATAGTACAACCAAACTGCAGACAAGATGTCGAAAATAATGCGCACAATTTACACATTCAAACCATTTGTCTCAATAGTAAGATTTCCAGTAATGACAAACTTCTTGAATAGGTGCTATGGTTCGGTTGCAGTATGGCCAAAGAGCAAATTTATAGATCAGTATATACTTAAATCACAAAAGGAGAAGGAAGAATCGAATACAGTTCTCAGCGAAAAGGTTACAACAGATAAAAGATTTGATGACCTATACTATAATGTTGACAACTCATTTAAATACGCGCGGTCCTACACGCGGACTTGGACAGAGTTTACGGAACCTCCTAAAAAGAAGTATAAAGCAGATTTCTCTTTGAGCGATATTGACAATAGACCGATTCATCATCGTTCTGAAGTCGCAAGGCCAATGACAGCAGGTCCATGTAACATTCCGCGTTGGAGAAAAATTTTCCAGTGGTATTTTAGGGAATAAACTTGGAAAAATTGCAGTTACTTTTTAGGCACTATAATAACGTCCGGTATAGACCTTAGTAACTGCAATTTCTTGAATCGTTTTGCACTTTATAGAACTAGGCATGATTAGTAACTGCAGTTATTTTCAAGCTCTATTCTTCATTAAAAATAATAGACGTCAATAACTGCAGCTATTTTTGGAATGCTATATGAACATACCTCAATGGACTTGGTGGGTGCATTTGTGATTACTTCTTCGCGCCTTCTATATTGGTTACATATGGTTAATTGTCTAAAATCTACTTTAAACCAATATTCGGAATAAAGGACTTAGAAATATGTTTGTGGTGATAAAATTCAATCTGGCGTATCAAATCTTTGCAGTTTTATTATATAAAATATTGAAAAAAATCACTGAATGCAAATAAAATTTAACGTGAGTACCACAATCTGCCTATTATTGTTTTCATTATACTTGATGTTTCGTAACCATACTCTTCGGTTATGTTGAAAATTGACTGAATTTCATTTCTGTATGGATTTTATAAGAATCTTGTATAGATTTTGTATGAAAATGCTACATAATTGTCAAGTTAAATTATATTAGTTGTATTATATTATATTATATTAGATAATAATAGTTCTAAAAGGTACACTCAGAAATTTAAATAACGCTAGTTTAGTCGATAGATTATAACAGAATGCCTAATTCTCTCTCCAAAGGACATAATAACGTTTTTAAGTACTACATGTCTATGGAACTAAAGTGGGTGCGTCATAATAATCCTCAAAGGATGCAGTGATGTGGTGACAAGTTTCCAACCCGTTTAAAATCTAATATAATAATCAATAGAGAGTTGAAAAAAGAAGAATACACCGCTGTCAAAGTACACCTCAATTCAGTCAATCTTCCAGTTTTCATAAGCAGATTGAAGTCACATCTTCACACATGGCTTCTTCAAGTGAGTACCTCGATCACTGCTGTTAAACTTTAAGGTTATTATTTATTTATTGAGTAATAGAAGAGGATCAAATCTCAATTTAAAAAAAATGTAAGATATGATTTCTGGTTACTTTTTAACACATTCCCACAAATATTAATTGTAGTATTCTTAAACTAATTACGAGTATATAAAACTATTTTTCATTCAAAAATAGTTTTCATAACAATATTAGTTAATTATTATTATTATTATGTTGAGGAAAGTTGAGTCAGTGCACCTGAGCACTTTTACTCTATATTAACTGCGAGATTTCTTCAAAACCCCTTTATGCGCCTTGACTGGATTATTATTTATCACATCATCAGACTAAGTAATAATTGACCTCAGATCTGCATACCTCCCCGAGGAGCCTGTAACCATTCTGAGATTTGATAATGCGGTGTTAGTAAGTCTGTCAGATTTCGCAAATAATTTCAAGGCTCTATCCTTTATGTATTTTTTGAAGGGATCAATCTTGAGGTCCCTAAGGATGTCATTCGTCCTAATATACCAAGGAACTTTGAAAAGTCTTCTCAGAGCCTGGCTTTGTGCAATTTCTAATTGGTGAATAGTAGTGTTTGAAGCTTTTCACTGTGTTTTTGGTAATCAAATCACTGTGTTTTTGGTAATCAAATCACTGTGTTTTTGGTAATCGGTAATACAATTCACTGTGTTTTTGGTAATCGGTAATACAATATTATGTCGCATACACGAACATAATATATACCTTACTTTATTAATAATAGCATAAAGTCTTCGGAATCTCACAAAATGTACAAAAATACAAAATATACTCTCCGGACAGTAGTCATACTGTATATATACTTAACCCTATCATCTCATTTATCTATTGATGATCACTGTAAGGTATATATTATGTTCGTGTAGGCGACATAATATTGTATAACCGATTACCAAAAACACAGTGATTTGATTACCAAAAACACAGTGGAGAGTACATTTTGTACTTTTGTACATTTTGTGAGATTCCGAAGACTTTATGCTATTAATAAAGTAAGGTATATATTATGTTCGTGTATGCGACATAATATTGTATTACCGATTACCAAAAACACAGTGATTCCGAAGACTTTATGCTATTAATAAAGTAAGGTATATATTATGTTCGTGTATGCGACATAATATTGTATTACCGATTACCAAAAACACAGTGATATTAGTTAATGTTAATTTTTCTATTAATATTATTCTATTAACTTGGAAAAGGTTCAACATAATAATTAAGTAATATAATCACTACAATCATGACTGACTTTAAAATCAAATTTCATAAAAAAATTTTATTTAAAAATGGGACTTAAAGTTATTGCATGTAGTTAGTAAAATATCTAATAAATATTTCAAACTCCTATAGATATCATATTAATACTTTTTAACAGAACCAAATCGTGTTGACGAAAAAAATTTTATTAATTTTAATAGAAATATATCATCGAATAAATTTTATACTGAAAAATATGTAACTTCAACATTTCTAATTTTATGCTTAAGTCTTCCACTCGTTCGGATTAATATAGGTTTGAGAAAGCGAACCACGTAATGAGTCTAACCCACGATTTAACGGGACGGGTTTTGGTTTGTCCTTAGCTTTAGTGATCCATTTATTCCAAGCTTCGTTAGCTTGCTCACGTCTCATTTCTTCCTGGGCTTTTTTTAACTCCAATTCGGCTTTTTGCATTTGTTTTTTTTCTACTGCCAATTGCATTTTAGTGTACTCCCATTCCATAACTTTCAGGTTCGATTCAGTTTTTTTAATCGTCAGTTTACTGGTTTGGGTCTTCTCTAACACTAATTTCCGTTTAGCAATTTCTGCTGCCTTTTCAATCCTTTTGCGTTCTTCCCATTGCTGCACTTTAACATGTGATTCTACTTTACGCAATTCTTCTTTTTCACGTTTCTTCGCATCTGCTTTCAGCTTCAATTTTATTTCTTTCTCCTTTTGGGTTCTACAAAATATAATTTGTTATTTTATACTTAATGTACTCTATAATATATATATATGCATCAAAAATATATACTTTTTCGCTTTTAACCAATTCTGAAACGCTTCTTCTGCGTTAATTCTATGTATTGTAAAAGTTGCACCAAACTTAGCTGATGTACTTTGTCCATCAGTTGATCTAAGATCTAGAGACGGAATATCAAGGCTGTCCAGATCTTGTGTTTCTGTACGACCTGTTTCCTTACTATCGCTCCTGCTTGTTGGGTATACACTTGTCACAGAGCCATCGTTAGTAATGCTTTTGACGTGCGCAATAAAATCAAATGTTCTACCAAATAGAGTTAAATTTCGAACCAAATTATTCCAATATTTTTATACATACTTATTATCGGATTGCTCAGGTGTATGTAGTAAACCGGGAAGAGTATCAGGATTCGATACCTTAGCGTTACTTTCGATTAAATCAAGTGTTCTAATAAAAGATGTGTTCAAAATTTGTTTCTGATTTCATTTTAAAAATTGTATGTACCTTGTTCCAGATAGTTTATTGCCATAGTGTGGACTGGAAACAACTTCAGATGCTGCTGTTAAGGATGCCCTACCACATGCAATTAAATGAGGGGATCTAATGAATATTACAGTAAAACTTTGTTTATTTGTACAATTTTATCTAAATGGTGTTAAATACTTTATGTCAGATTGTAACTTAGCGGAACGCGCACTGCTCAAACTTTTCGAATTTGAACCAATATCAGTATCCCTTGTAATTGCATCAGTTGATCTAAAAAATTTATAATAAAGATGTTTTGTGTTTCTTTTATATAATTTAGAAATACTTCTGGCTGTACTTATTTCTAAGCCGACGAACGTAAGTTGTTGGCATTTTTCCAAATGTTGGTTCATTAGTAGGCGGTGATGTTAAGTGAGGTGATCTATATGAAATTAGTGTAGAAATTATTTCTGTTGTTAGTGTAATCTGTTATACAGACTTTATGTCTGGCTGTGCTTTAGTATTACTCGTTCTAGAAGGACTTTCTAGCATTGAATTCATATTTCCTATAGAATTAAGTAATCTACAAAAATTATCTATGAAAGTTTGTTTGATGTAGTCTAATTTACTATACGGACTTTTGATCGGATTGTGATGTCGTGCACACTGAAGAGGATGGACTTATTGGTGTTGGTATAACGCTCCGATTAATGGTACGTGATCTACAAAATGTTGATATAAGAACTTTTCTTTCATTTAGTATTATACAAACTTAATGCCGGGATTCATAATAGTATCAGGTGGGGTTGGAGGAGTAAGCGCCATTGGATCAATGTAGTCCTCAATGTTGCGTGATCTATTAAAAACTTTAATGAAATTCATCTTTGAAATCAGTTTAAGGTATTATACGAACATTATGGTAGATTTAATTTTTGTATTATATAATCTCGGTGGTTTTCTTGGCGATAAATCCTTTGTTTTCTCAAATGATCTAGAAAGAGTTGCTATGAATATTTTTTTCTGATTAAATGTGATATTTTTTTTACAAACTTTATGCGTGATTTCATTGTAATGTGAAGCGGACGACTGGAAAGACCTCGAGATTTAGGTGGAATGAATTCATTGCGTGATCTATTGAATATGATAATGTATTGAATTTAGTCTTTAATTTATGTTAAAGTTTTGTACATACTTTATGTTTTGTTGAGCCTTAGCATCAACTGTGGTTGAAGATGTAGTCGATTTATACCCATCATTATCTTGTGAAAAAAAATCGGACAACCTTAAAAATATTTTTATATAAGTTTATCTCTTTTTTTTTAAATAAGTATTTTAATATTAGTACAACAGCTGTATAATACTTACTCTTCACCGAGTCTTGTTCCAACATACAGTGGATCGGCATAAGTCCTCGGAATTGAGTTAATATATGTCGTAGAATCAAACTCATGTATATCATACTTTCTCTCCATTTCATTTTCTTCCTCGTCAACCTTTGTTCTATAGAATGCCATTTTTAAATGAACTGAATTTGTGCAAATCAATATCCAAGACAAAATTTTTCTTCAAATTGAATTTTCTGACAAAATTATTTAATATTAAGAAAATTTTAATACATAAAGAAGTCAAAGCTTAGTTGTTTAAATGACTGCTTTCAAAATTGAATATTTTGATTTGAGATATGTGAAGAAAAATGCTTATATAAATAACTCATGTACTTCTACACTCATTATTTTCGTACTTTTTGGTAATTTTTCCAAAATTATTTGTAAATCCTATCACATTTGCAATTCTACTATTGCTATTCCAAACTTTCGCGATCATTAACAATGTGATCTCTCGTTGCAGACAAGAACATCCAAGAAAAAGTCTATATTCTAACAAATAGCCAGGAGGCCGTGGAAGCTATTTTAATGATTCTTATCTTTTCCAAGGTAGGTCTAGAATATATATGAATTATTTACTAATAAATTATCAGTTCCAACATATTATTTGGTTGAGTTCGCGGTTATGGGAATATCTTCGCATTAATTCCTGTGGCTGTCAGTCACATATGACGATTTGACTTATGATTAGTTTTTGCAGTCAGATCGAGGGCAAGTTGACTTGAGCATTTTATTACTAACATTTGTGGTAAATTGATAGAATTAAGATAGAAGTAAACGAATTATATTTCAAAACCCTGGACGACAGGGGTCGACTTTATCAAAACTTGTGTATATCGTAGGTACTGTTCACCAAAGCATGAAAAAGAGACTGTATATTATCTGATATAGCAAAGAGTTTGTGTTATAATTTTATCAAATTACGAAATCATCTTTTTCAACAACTGCATAACCATTACCTTTAAAAATCTTTAAGGTACCAAATTTAAATAAAAATAAAACCAGAATGATTTAACTTATATACAAAAGGAGGATCTATGTTACTCTCTGGCAATAAGAGATGGATTGCATGTATTAATTTTACGTTTGATAAATTCAGAAATACGTACTACTTTAAATGACTATAGTCCTTTAACGTCCACCGGAGACGTGGTCTACTTCTAGGCCTTCTTTCTTTAACTATCGTTGCAAATATCTTTTTCGCTGAATCATATTGATCTATTCTCACGACATGACCAAGCCTGTGAGGTGGCTAGATGTGCAAATTCAGAAATAAACAAACCAATTATTCAAGGGGCTAACAGAATTTAGAAATACTTTCAACGAGTCTTATGTTTTTGGGCCAAAGTTATTTTCGGGTCTCATTTCTTAAAGATGACCACAAAAATTATGTTTTCTTAACGAAGCATAACGAAATTAAAATTTATTCGGTTTTTTAATTCTTAATAAAAGATTTAGAGTGAGATTTTAAAGGAAGCCAATCAATATAACATTTCAGTTCCTCCATGAGCCCAATTAACACTTTCGAACCTTTTAGGTGTTATTTTCTCGTTACCAACTGATTCTTAAATTTGTTTGCCGGGATCACACTGTGAGATCCAATGCTGTTTAAGAACTTCTAAACTTTCTTCTCATGAGCTCTCCAAGATTAGTAAAGATCGGCTTACCAAATGTAGTTGCTCTATATCTCTAAGGAGATATATCTCTTTGATTACATTCGTTTAAGTAACAATTGGAATGACGTTCTATTCTGACCATCGAATCCACAGTATTATACAGAAAACTATAATAAAAGCTTATGTTTTAGGAAAATCCCTTCTATTTCTGTTTATAAGCGATATTAGACTTACATATTGCACGATTTCTTCATAACCAATCCTCTATTAAGAGTGTTTCAAATGTTATTTTTATTTTTCTATTTTATTTTTTCCAAGCAATTATTATTTTTATTCCAAACATATAAGTCAAGAACGACTTTGGATCAGTCGGCTAATAAACGCTGACTCTAAGTTTCAAATTTGTCAGGGTACGAGTTCAACCCTTGGTACTTGCTAGTCCGGTCTCAAAAAATTATTTAAAAATAATTAAATACAAGAAATAATTCCAAGACATTTTATGATGGGTATTTGGCAATACTCGAAGAAGCTGTTTGATCAGCCAAAAATTCAATTAATTAAAATGCACTACTTAAGTTCAGTACTTTTCGAAATATTTCTTTTGTTTATTATTTTACTATATTAAAATTTTCATGTTGAAGTCGGTGTTCATATTTAAATTGTGTCAATGAGGCAGAATAAACAAATTTCTATGTGTCACATCATAATTATAATAACAGTAAAATAAACAAAATGAGGTCCTTTAAATGTACAATAAGTAAAAAATCATTTACTCTATATGCATTTACTCTATTGATGTTTCTTGTATGTTATAAAATTTTTAGGTAAAAACATATTTTCAATTTTTTTTTAATTTTTACCTATAATGACTTCATATGCAACATATTCTGGGAGTACATAACAAAGTAAGTAAATGTACGTAAAGCTATTAAAAAATCAAAACTATTAATAATCAAGTGCAGCCAACTAAGGTAAAAACATGTCAACTGATAAGGAATACTCCAACGTTCATTAGAAAAGTCCTTACTCATCTCTACTTGCAATTATGCTACGTAAAAAGGAAGCAACAAAAGTTGTCACACGTAGAAGATTTGCATAGTTTGACCTTTTACTGTATTATGTAGGACAAGTGCACTAAGTTCAAAACTTTGTCTTTTTTTTCCATTGAAGTCCTCAAAGTATGAACAAAAAACAACATCCTCTGTAATATGTTGGGGAAATTAAATGCACTTTTTTGCCCTCATAAACACAAACCAGTCCGATGGAAAGGAAGCATAGCTTCCTTTAAAACGAGAGTAACGATGACTTTCAACAACTCACAGAGCTGAAACTTATCTAACGCATACTAAGTAGTGGAAAATGATGTGTCGAGTATGTAAGACATATAGTTGAGCTGGGAGGTGAGTATATGTTTAGAGAAAATATCAGGTCGAGCTTACATGCATGCATGCATGCTATCCAAACATAAAGAAACTGCGTGTGTTCGGGGGTGAAAGTTTGAAAAATGATGCCAAAATTGTATGCACAACTCAGCTTTTTGAAGTAATAATCTTTGTTGGCTCTGAAAGAATATGGAGCATTATGCTGCATGCCAGTGCATCAAAAGTTGCAATTCAACTACGTGGCAATGGCAGTGGATCGTCTACATCCATCCGCACTGCACTTTGTCTTCAGTCTTCAGTCTTCAGTTGGTAATGGCCATAATGGCAACTAATGCTTATTGCTGCAGCGTTTCAGAAAGGGAAAAAACTTCTTACATCACAGTTGGTTGTTGAATTCATTTGTCTTTTTCACATACTCAAGACAGGTGAGTCCGAAAATATAAAATGTAATTCGTAATGTGAATTCGCATTGCGTAAAATCTTACTTCAGATATTTCACTTTACGAGCGCAGCATAAGAAGCACGTCAAATGCAATCATTTATTTTAAACTGACTTGCAGCTAAATTGCAAAAGTAATAATATGCAGTTTACATATATTTAAAATGAAACATTATTAAGTAATGTGTACTGAAATTTATGAAATAAATCAAAACTTTTTCCACTGACCCAGTAGCATATATATCACAGTATTTTCTTTTAAATAAAATATTTCAAAAATAAAGTTTATATAACTAAGACGATATATATTCAATTTTTTTTTTTGTATGAAATTTAAAAAAAATTGCTTTTTTGATGATGAATTTAATTTAATTTTATATAATATAATTCTAGTGATATTTACGATTGGTAAATCTGGGACAGCTTTTACAAACGAGATTTACTTTTAGTACAATTTACATTTTTGATCCAAATGTATAACCCTTCAAGATCAATTTATACACTCTAAATATTTGCTAATACTAGATTCACTTGAGATTTTTGTTCGTAATTTTAGCTATCAATTGTTATATAAATTTGGTTTTGGTGGCAAACATTCGCCTATAGATCAAGTACACCGCATTGTCGATGAAATTGAAAGGACTATTGCAAGTAAAAAAGTGTGTACTGTTGTATTCTTCGATGTCGCAGAGGCTTTCGACAAATTCTGGCACATAGGTCCTCTGAATAAACTAGAAACATGTTTGCCGTCATCATATTTTGCGATTTTGAAGTCTTCATTACCTCGAGGTTTTTTTATGTGAAACACAAAAACATTTCTTCAAATTTATCTGCGATAAAAGCAGGTGTACCTCACAGGAGTTTACTCCGTCCACTATTATACCTGCTTTACACAATGGACTTGCCAGATGATACCGCTATTTTGACGATTGCTGACTCCGTTGAAGAATCAGTAGCGAAATTACAAGCAGCTACACATTCGTTAGACAATTGGACAAAAAGATGGCGTATCAAACTGAATTCTGCTAAATCGGTTCATGTGGACTTTACAAATAAAAAAATGCAGTACTTTCCTAATTCGATTCTATGTACTCAGATACCATATGCCAACACTGCAAAAAATCTTGGCATAACGTTGGACGCAAAACTTCGATGGAAGGAACACATAAAAAAGTAACGAGAGGAGATTGATATGAAGTTCAGAAAAATGGAATGGCTGATTGCACCAAAATCCACACTATCTATGCAAAACAAGATTCTGCTATACAATGAAATTTTAAAACCTGTATCGTCGTATGGCCCTGAACTATGGGGGAGCGCTAGCCAAAGTAACGTCGAAATAATCCAACGTTTCCAGAACAAGGTTCTGTGGAACATTTTAAAAGCGCCATGGTACATTAGAGACAGCGATATACACCGCGATCTGAAATTGTCCACAGTCGCTGAAGAAATAAGAAAGAAAGCTACAAGTCACAAACTGAGGTTGCAGCAACATGTTAACACAGAAGCTGTTAACATCATAACCTCGCATGGACAACTAAGACGACTAAAACGGCGAAATGTCGATGACATGGCATTGAATTAGAATGTAAAGTAATTTGTGTAGAAAATTGCTTATTTATGTTTGTATAGTATTGATCAGATTCAAGCTACTCGTTGTTTATAATATAAATTTTTTTTATGTGGAAAATTAAATTAAGAAAAAAGAAAATTGATTATAAGAAACTATATTTTTATTTTGAATTAAACTGTTTAAT